AAAAAAAAAAAAAAAAAATATATATATATATATATATATATATATATATATATATATATATACACACACACACACACAAATTTTATACACTGGTATAATTAGATTTATTCAAATAAATAAAGAGTGAAAATACAAAAAAAAAGAAAATCTAGGTAAGTCTGGTATTATTTCAAAATTTTAAAAACACTTAATACCTAATACAACATTTAGAACATAACAGGTACTTGATAAATGATACCTATTAGTAATATCCAAACATGAGGTAGCATCACTGCTAAATTTCAGAGAATTACCTGAAATGAGCAAAGAGGGGGAAAAAAAGAACCAGTAGACTCACCTTGCACATTTTCCAAGTGTGTTGGGTGGTTAGAACTCTGTGCTCTCACTGCCGAGGGCCCGGGTTCAATCCCTGGTCGGGGAACTAAGATCCCACGAGCCGTGTAGCACGGCCAAAGAAAGAAAGAAAACAAACCAAGTGGGTTGACCACTTGTTTTTCCACCACCTTAGCACTTGGGGAAAGCTCTCTTGGAGATGGGCTTATAGTAGAAGCAGGAAGAACCAAGACTGATTCCACTGACCATGATGGGGGCGAGATGCTGGAGAGATGCTGGAATCCAGAAGTGGAACTCAGTGTGGTGACCACATTTCCAGGACTTCTCAGCACCTGGTCAGGCCCAGTTGCTAGGCTGGGCTTGTGATGCCCTGAGGCACAAAAGGGAGCAGACAACTCTAAGAAACTGGATAACCTGCCCTTCCCCCAACCATTCAGTCCCCAATCAGGTCTTCAGAGTCCCCGACTGATGCTCAGAACTCCAGCTTCTGGCGGTCCCACAGTCCAGGAGTGCGCCCAGAGGAAACCATGCCATGGATCCGGAGCCCCTGCCACTGCCTCATCAAAAGCCCAATGACCAGGTTAGGCTGGAAGGGTGAGGGTGGGGAGATCAAGGAAAGCATTACTCCTCCCCCTCACTGAAATCCTTGGGAGACTCTTTCCATTTCCAGTCAGAGCTGGGAAATGGAATAGGAAGTTTTGGTCTTACCAGGGACAACTGGCCCCAGAATCTGGGCAGTGGTGGCATTCAAAGGAACTAAAGATTGGTCTGTGTCTTTGCATTTTGCCTTATGGATATGACTTCTGAATAGACGCAAGTATCTACAGCACTCCTGTGGGAGGCCTGGGGTGTTTCAGCTCCCTTCATTGCCACCTCGCACCCACCTAACCACCATCCATTGGCAGGAGCCCCACTTCTTCATCTCTACCTCTGCCCATTCTAGGTTTAAGCACCCCCCGCCCCCATCCAGCCTAACCTGGCTGAATCTGAGACCCTATCTCTCTCTTCCAGGTTTATGGATCACTCTATTCTCAATGACAGAAAGTTCAGTCTGTACTGAGCAGGATGTGTTTGCAGAAGGACAAGATAAACTCTGGATGGAAGGCAAAGAGGGAAACAGGGAGGTGTCCTGGTTCCACTGGCTGCCTAATGGGAGGAGGGGATTGAGAACATGGAATAAACAGATTGGACTAGAAGTCACTCGTGTGCGCTGCAAGTGAGGGGGAGGGAAATTATTCCCATGCCCAAATTCCTGGGAGATCAGGATTGTGAGAGATTCCTGAAGGAGCCAGAACTCGGTGTTTGGCTTGGGAGGGGCCAGGGCACTGGAAAGACCACCACAGGGGTTCCTGAGCTCACGCATGGCAGGGGTCAGAGTAACACATCTCGGAAGACACCCTGCCCCTCGTGATGCTGACAGGCCTTGGAGTGGTCATGCTCTGTGAAGACGCTGCAGTTTCACCTTGGCAAGGAGAAAACCAGAGGTAGCCCTCTGACCACAGACGAGAGAGGTCCACAGAGCCCCCAGACTGGGGCCTGCCTCCTACCCCAGGCTCTGCCACTTCTGACCCAACCCAGGGCCCAGAACAGCTGCAGAGAACAGGGAATTTTACAAAGAGTTTGATTTTTATTGATATTTAAATATATTAAATATTTCACTGAAATACATGGTATACACACCCTCCCCCCCTACACATACACACTGGTTACATTATAAAACCAAAGTCTATGGGCCTCCCATCCACTGACTCCCCCACCCCAACTGGCGAGGAAGGGGGCAACGTCAGCCCGGGGGAAGCACACGGCTGGCACTGTGGTACAGGGAGCCAGGGTGTGGACAGGTCCCTCCCACCTGGCAAGAAGCAGAGACAAGTCACGGAAGACTGCAGTCTTCCCACTCTGGTCTCCTTACAGCCTCATCCCCACCCCAGGACCCCACGCAGAGCCTTCCTGTCCAGGGACGTGGCTGAGGGAAGCGGAGTTGACTTTCTGTCTGGACCAACTAGTCTTTTCCCCTTCTCCTGCCTTGGCTAATGAAGTGACTGATGGCCCATTTGGCTGATGCATGAAGATCCCCCAGAGCAGGCAGTACAAGCCCGAAACCAGGCTTCTGCAAGGAGCTAGAGTCAGAAAGGACACGAGAAGGGGCAAGACTACCACCTGCCCCTTCCAATCCCCAAACCCAGCAACTCTGGGACCCTCTCTCCTCTGCCTCTCTAATGCCTCAAAGACAAAGCCATCTTCAAGCAAAATCCTGGCTCATGCCTCTGGCTTAAACAGGTACAGACAGAGAAACCAAGGCACCAACTAATTCAGTCCAGAGGCAAGGAGGTTGCAGGGAAGAGGGTAAACGGCAGGCAGGGACAGGAAGGGAGTCTAGGGTCCAGCCCTCCTAATCCTCCTGCCGGCTCCGTGAGGACTGGGGAGCCCGGAGCACGCTAGGCTCAAGCTGAAGGATGGGGAAGGCTGAGGCCCAGGCTCCCCTCCCATAGCCCTTAGTACCAGAATCTGGGTCCTCAGAGGGGTCCCATGCTACCCCAGCCCCAAAGCATACCACATCCCAGGACACCAGCTGGGGAGCCCAGGAAACTCCTGAGCCTCTGCCCACCAAACCCCAGACAGTTCAAGTGCAAGGAGCACTGTGGGCCTCAAGCAGGCCCTTGGGTCCCTGCCCCAGGCAGGGAGACAGTCGTGCTGCACACGTGGCCCCCAAACGGCACTTAGGGATTTGGCACAAAAAGGACTCCTCTCCCCAGGGCCACCCTCTTGCTACCACACCCCATCCCACTCCTGTGCAACAGGGGCATCTCTCTCCATCCCTTGAAATCAGAAATCCTGCCTTATTCCCAGAAGACAGAGGCCCACAGGAAAGAGGCAACCCAGGGTGGAGAGCCAAGGAGCAGGACCACAGAGACACACAGACCACCACGCACGCACGCTTACACAGACACACAGACCACCACACACGCACGGTTACACACACACGCAGACCACCGCGCACGCACAGTTACACACACACGCAGGCCCTCCCCAGTGCCAGAGGCGTGGGAGGACAGGTTTGGGATCAGGGCCATCTTCCTCCATGCCCTGGCCCTTTTCTATTTGGCAACAGAAGGGGTAGAGATGCTCCGTGTCCCCTTGCAGCAGACAGCAAGAGAGCACTGGGGCAGAGTGGCCTGATCCTGACCTTTGGATCGGTCTGGCACCACCCCCGTCCCTGGCCGGCCTGCGCTCTTTGGCACCTGCAGGCGAACATCCAGCTCCTGATCTTATGACATCCCCACGCACACGCCTGCTCTCCGGCTGGGCATTTTCACAGTACCAGTGAGACCAGATGCCCCTTTCCCTGGAGCTGTGCAGGAAACGGGGCTAATCTGAGCTGGCAGAAGTCCCTTTGTTCCCCTTTGGGGACAGATCATGGGACTAGGATTTGGCAAATGGAAACATACCCCTGAAATATGGACAGAGCTGGGTCCCCAGAACATCTCCCTCCCATGCCCTGTGTCTGTGAGGGAGACCTGGCTGGGGTAGGGAGTGCCCAGGACCCATGCTGGGGATGCAGGCATAGCAAAGGAAGGCAAGGATGGAATAGGCACTCTTCAAGCCTGCCCCAGTCTTTATAAAAATATTCCCAGGAAAACGAGGGAAAGGAAGGGCCCAGCCCTGAGCCAAGTGCCCAGACAGACAGGGAAAGGGCGGGCGTGGCAAGCTGCCATTTTAATCTCTCAGGCAGGAGACGTCCCCCTGCCTCTGCTGCTGCCCCCTCCCCTGCTCCCAAAAGCTGGAAAAAAGGAGAGAAAACAGCCCTACCCCAGTTAAGAAAGGAAGCCACTTGCATAATCCTCTTGGTATCCCCTCATTCACCAGCCTGAGGGCAGACGAGCATGGTCCAAGTACAGCCTGCTGGGGTGTTCCCTTTTGTGGTCAGCAGGGTCTGGAGGCTCAGCCTCCCCCAGCGAGCACAGAGTCCACTCAAATGCCCACCTTGGTCCTTTCAGCCGAATTTGTAGCTGGGCCCTGCTAACTGCTGGGGCCCCCATTGAGGAAGTAGGTGGTCATCTCCCCCTTGCCCTTCACCTTGACCACCCCTCGACACTCCAGCTGGTAGCCCTTGGCCGCTAGAACCTGGTACAGGTCCGTGGTCACCTGGGGGGGTGGGGGGGGGAGGGGAACCTGCTTAGCCCAGGATCCTTCCTGCTGCATTTGCAGGAGTCCAGGGGTTCTCTGCTCATGCCAGCTCCCCTCCCCCAACCCTGACTCCACCAACCAGAGAACAGCGCCACCCTTCCCCTGTCCTTGCTGACTGCAGAGAGGGCCCTGCGGAAGCCCTCTGGACCCATACCCCTCCCAGCCTCTGCTCACATCCCCCTCACCTGGATTCGGTCGGGGACCCCCGTGCTGTCCATGCGGCTAGAGACATTCACTGTGTTCCCCCAGATGTCATACTGCGGCTTCCGAGCCCCAATGACGCCTGCCACAACTGGGCCCATGTTCAGCCCTGGGGTAGGTGGGGACAGCAGTAAGAAATCGAGAGCACTGGCTGTTCCACAGTCAGCCCAGGGAGGCACCCACCTCCTGGCACCTTTAGAAGGACCCAGAGAAGAAACTGGAAAAGGGACAAGCCTCCTAGTCATAAAGAATGGAAGATGCGGGCATATCAGCTGAGGAGCTCCCCTGAGTCAGGACGGCTATGCTAGAACAGCAGCTAATCTACCGATGTGCGCCCTGTGCCAACCACTCTGTAAGCGTTTTACACTATCTCATCCTCTCAACGGCCCCAAAAGGTAGGTACCATCGTTCCCACTTTACAGAAAAGATACCTGAAGTTTAGAGACGTTAGACAACTTGCTAAATAAGCCAGTTAAGTGGAAAAGCCGACAGTCTGACTCCAGAACCCATGCTATTAACCATTCCCATCCACCAGTTCATCTGAGAGGAAGTGCCTCTTATCAGACTGGCCACAGAAAAGGACACGGGCACTGGAGCGTATAGCTAAACCTGGTCTCGAATCCCAGTTCAGCCATTTACTAGTCATATGACCTTGGCTGAGTTATTTACTCTCTCTGAGAGTCCACCTCTTTATCTGTAAAAGGGGATAATAATGTGAGGATTTATATGTGCTTTAAAAAAAAAAAAAAAAAAAAAGCCTGGGACAGGGCTTAGCACAGAGCAGGCCTTCAATAAATGATCTCTGTTCTTACCATCAGACAATATAGGAGGTGGGAGAAAAGGAAAGGCCCACAGGACTCCCGACGGGGAACATGAGACGCCATCCCCAGCCTGCTGCCTCAGCTTCACCCAGAAGCGGCCCTGGGAAAACCTGCCATCAAGCGGGCCCTCTCACCGATCTTCATCTGGAAATTGTTGAAGGAGTGCTCATTGATGTGCTTCATCTGCTCCATGAGCCGCATGGCGTAGTCGGCAAGGGCAGTGATGTGGGAGCGGCCCACCTGATCATAGGTGCTGGCATTCAGCCCAGAGGCAGCCATGTAGGTGCTACCAATCGTCTTGATCTTCTCCAGCTGCCGGAACCGCTCCTCGCTGATGATCTGGACAGCACAGGGGGACCTGGCTGTCAAGGCAGGCAGGCCAAACCCAGCCCTGCCTCAAGCCTCAATCCGTGCCAGGCCCTGGCCCCCTTCTCCACTTCCCTGGCTCAACACTCCCCTCCTTTCGGTAAGTGAGCCCCGCTTCCAGCCGCTGCTCTCAGTGCAGGACTACGGAGCCGGGAAAACAGCCTCCCTCACCGGGCAGCCGTCAAAACCCAAGCCAGCACTTGGGCGCACAGCTCCAGGTCAACTTCGACAGCTTGCTACAGAGCCCAGAACCACAGGAGGGATATGAATGATTGGCATCAATGATTCCAACCCTCGCCTCTGGGGAAACCGAGTCCCAGGCTGAGGAAGTGCCTTCCCTCCAGAATAGGGAACAACCCGTTCCTGACCTGGATGTTCAGGTCACTTTTTCATATTTTGCTTCCATTTTCTCTACTCAGGGGATCGTCTTGCTTACTTGGCCTCGTGGGGCCATAGTCTACTGATTACCGGCTTCTTCTTCAATGGCCCCCACCTGCTACCTATCCTGGCCCCTCCAGAGAGCCTCACGTCCTCCTCTGCTCCTCAACAATGATGACCCTGCCCCACTGGCGCTGAGCTTGCTGCCTGTGACACCTTCGTGAGCACCCGTCCCTGACTCCACTGTACCTACCTTTACTCCTACCCCTGACACCTCTGGGTCCCATCAGATCTCCCTTCCTCCTGCCAGTACCAACCATCCCCTCCGAGCCTGGCCTTCTTATCCGAAGTTCTCCCCACTCCTCTGGTCCCCAAGTCTGCCCACCCTCTGCCAGCACCAACCAGCCGACTGGACAAGTACCTCATCGAAGTCAGCGATGATCTCGTTGAGCAGCCGCAGGCACTCGACACCCTCATTGTTTGCCTCTAGCTCCACGTAGAACTCAGAGAAGTTGGCAATGGAGGCAAACATGACGGCCACGCACTCACATGACTGATAGTAGAGCTCATCATTCCGGCGCTCCCGGGCAAGGAAGTGGGCGGCCACGTCCTTGGGCAGAATGTTATGTAGCAGCCGCCGGTTGTATGCCTGGAGCTCCTCCATCTCCTCCTTCTCCCCTGTGGCCTGTGGACACCACACCCATCACCCACTGCCCAACATTCACAAGGCGTGGGTGCAGCGGCCAACACCTGGAGATGGGCATCAGAGGGAACCACGTGGAAGAAGAAAGGCAAGGACAGGCCTAAAGAACAGGCAAAGAAGTAGAGGGGGCAGGGACAGGATGAGGCGGGGGATAGGGGACGGGCACAGAGAAGGCATGGAGCCAGGGTGGGCTCGGGGCAGCCTGAGCCCTGGCCAGCCTAAGAGATGCCTGGCGTGGCCCAGGCTCTGCCCCTAGGATCTTCCCCCACCCCAGAGGCCCACCCAGTCACCTGCAGTTTCCAGAGGAAGTCCAGGCGGGCAGTTGATTCCACCTGCTGGGCATGCAGATACAGCGCCAGTGCAAACACCAGCAGAATCACAGGGGTCATATATTTGAGTGCCACCCTCCCTGCGGCTGAGCTGAGGGAAGCAGAGGCAAGCTCAGTGTCTGAAGGAGGCATCTGGCAGCCCCACCCTTTGCTGCCCTACAGCCCTCACTCACCAGTCCAGCCCACTGAAGGTCTCGTTGGAAGAAGCCCTGGCAGGAAGACACAAGAGACAAAGTCATCGGTTCTTCCTGGGTTGCCAGGTCGGGGCATGGAAGGGGAGACAGAAACTGCATTTACTGAGCACCATAAATCAGGCACTAGGCCAAGGCTTTTGCTTCTGTTAACTCATTAAGAGCAGAGGTTCCACTCCTGGCTCCTCTACTCACCAGCTATGTGACCTGGAACAAGTTGCTTAACTCTCTAAGCCTCAGCTTCCTCATCAATCAACGAGTGATCAGATCTAAATAATGCATGCAAAAGGCTTAGCAGAGCGCTTGGCATCAGCAAACCTTCGATAAATGTTACTTATAATAATCTTTACAACTACCTTGTGATATAGATGGCACTGCCGTTTTACAGATGAGGAAACTGAGGCTCAGAGAAGTTAATTCAACGATCCAAAGACACACAGCTAATAAGTGGCAGAGTAGGGATTCAAACAGCAGACTCCAGAGGCTTTTTCTACCGCACCATATATTTCTACCACATACCCCGAGGGGTGAGGTTTTGCAGAGGAAAAGCCAGTGTGTTGTCCCAGGCAAAGCCCTCAAGTGGGAGTCAGAGTTTTGGTTCCTTTCCTAGCCAGGGCTCTACCACCAAGCAGCTGTGTGACCTACAGGTAGTTAAGAGTGGATATGAAAGCAACATGCAAATGCAAGAGGGAATTTTTTTTTTTTAATGTCTAGCCTAAAGACCAAGGGACTTCCCAGGACTGGGGTTTCCCTGAGGTGACTGTTGGGGGTCATGTGCTGCCTCCTTTCCCCCCACATGTGATGGGTGAGTGGTAGCATTCCAAGGGCACAGGGGGGCTCACAGTGACCCAGCAGGGTCAAGAGGCTCCTGGGGGACTAAAGGGGCTGTGGATAAACTCACAAGCCATGGACGCCAAGCAGTAGGTCGTAGTTGTCAAAGATGGTGGCCGGGGGCCCCAGCAGAAGCAGCACCAAATAGATGAGCCCCAGGACAAAGATCATGGCCAACTTCCCGATGCTACTGATGTGCAGGAAGACAGAGCTGGCCAAGAGACTCAGCAGCATGCTCCCGACGAAGTACTGGGGGGCAGCGGCAGAGGCAGCGTTGGCTGAAGGCAGAGGCCCTGGCGCTCCCGCGCAGGGAGAACACTGCACGCCGCCACCTGACCCAAGCTCCCCTCCACAACCTCAAACCCAAACCTCCTTCACCCTCCACACACCCCTAAAGCACACCGGGGCCCCAGGCTGCTCCTGGAGCTGGAGACTCTGGTGAGATCCTGGGTCCCCAGTGCCCATCACCAGGCCTGGCACAGAAGGGTCGATAACCGATAACCGGAACTGATCAGGACCCCACCCCCACCCCTTCCAAGCACCACTTGGACACCTCAGGGAAGCTGCAAGTGGGGGCGGTGCCCTCACACAGGGGAGCATCCAGGCCCAGTGAGTAATTGAGCTGCTGCAGGTGGCAGGCAGTGATGTCAGCAGGTGTTAAATTCAGCATCTGGGCTGCGCAAGTCCGTATGGGGGTGTGGTTACAGGTGAACTGCAAAAGTCGGGGGAGGTATATCAGGGTAACCGGGGAGGGGAGGGGTTACAAGGACCATGCCTTATAACCCAGGGGCCCTATACCCCAGGGGCCCAACTTCTCACTGAGGGATGACAAGAGGTAGCGGGGAGCAAAGAGGGAGGACAGGGGTTAACCTCACCCTTGCTTTGGGCAGGAAATGCGTCTCATTCCTCTCTGTACCCCCAGCACCCAGAGTGCTTGGAACAGAGGAGGGGCAGAAAAATTCCCACTGGAACTTTACCATGTTGGCGATGGCAGAGATGAACACAAGCAGGACGGAAAAGATGCCAACCGCAGTGCTATGTGCCCGCGAGCGGACGATGCTGCGAGACAGACGTCGCAGGGCCTGAGGGAACAGCTGCCGGGAGGCGGGAGACAGAGAGACGGAGGCCACATCAGCCAACGGGTAAGGTCACCCAGGGATGGGGCCCAATGGCAGAGGCTTGGCCTTCTCCTCCCTCCCCGCCCTTGGCCTGGCCTCCCCCACCAGCCCTGGAAGGCCCCCCACATACAGAGCCACACGAGTACACGGCGCAGGTCAGCACGGTGACCAGCAACAGCAGGAAGATACTGGCATAGATCCCAAGCATCAGGGCTGAGCTGGGGAGGAAGAGGGCCAGGGAAAATGTTACTCCAGGAGATCTGGACATCCTCGTCCCACTCCCTGGGCAGGCAGGATGTGGGCCCCGGGGACTGTGTGCTTGCGAGGATGTTTAGGAAGGTTGTGGGAAGCGGCAGCGGGAAGAGAAGCCAAGCGAGGAGGGACCGGGCTCTCACGGTGGGAAGACGAGGAGCTGGATGAAGCAGATGAAGCAGAAGACCAACAGGGCACAGGCCACGTAGGCTCCGAAGCGGGGGTCCACCTTTCGCGAGTACTGGGGGAGAGGAGACTGAGCTGGGCGCTGGCTCCGCCCTGGGGAAGGCAGGGCACTACCAGTTGGCCCAGTTGATATGAATCCCCGCTGTGCCCTGTGGTCACCTCCCCACTCCCCAGAAACCTCACCTGTGCTCAGACTTCCCTGCCGGGACCTCCCCTCCTCCCCCGGCCCTCCTCCTTCTGCCCTTGCATCCCCCAAACCTTCTTTTCAAGATCCTCTCTCTGGAAGGTGAGCAGGAACCGGCGCACGTGGTCCTTGCGCAGCTGATCGATGCTGCGGGCATCGATGGCACGGCCCAGGAACTCGTCTACCTCATCCTCAGGGTTCAGGGCATCCTGGGCACCCCGGCTGAGGGCAGGGGACATGGCTTCACCAGGTGCCTGAGCACTGCCATGCGACAGGCGATGAGAAGGGAGGGGCACAGGAAGCACTCAAAGAAGGAGTGTGAGCGGGGTAGGTGGCACCTGCTCCGTAAGACACATCTAAGGTCCAGGGAAGAGGGGGATCTTGGCTCCCCGCAACCCCGCCCCAGGGTGCAAGTGCCTTCGCCCAGCCCTCCTTCCCTACTCAACAACCTGACTTACTTGTCCTTGCTGGAATCATCAATGCCCTGGAGAAAGGGACAGAGTGTGCGAGTGAGGTGAAGGGCAGGCGGCCTTCACCTCTACAATCCCTTCCCCACCCTCAGCACTGCGCTGACGGCTCTCCCCACAGACTCTGGGGGGATTGGGACCCCTGGGGTGAAATCATCCCTCCTATCCCCAATTCCAGAAACTACGGAGACGGCAGCCATGACGAGGAAGGCAGAAGAGGCAAGGAGGACACAGAGTGCTGAGGGAGACAGGAAAGCGAGGCCCCAGGTCCCAGCGCCGTGGGCCCCTCACCATCTGCCGGAAAGCCTTCGAGTCCTTGGTCCGGGAGAAGGTGCGGTCGGGCACCCAGCGTGGCATCAGCCCCTCCATGGAGTTGGCCCGCGCCCGCTGCAGCTTGGCCAGCATGGCCTTCTCCTCTTTCTGTGTGGGCAGCGTGGGCACAGGCTGGGAAGGGTGGCCCGGAGAAGGCCTCTGCCAGCTCCCCCCATCTGCCCACCCCCGCCCCACCCCGGCCCTGACCCGTTTCTGGCTGGCTCCCAGGATGAGGAACGTCTCAATGTGCTGCTCCTTGAGGTAGGCGTTGCGCTCCCCGCCACGGCCCGGCTCCACCTCGTAGTCCCCGTTCAGGTACTGCAGCGTGGCCCGAGTGATGTGGATGCGGCTGTGTGGGACAGGAGGGTGAGACCCCTGCTCTGCCGGGGGCTCCCGTCCCTCGCCCCCTGGACGCACGCTCACCCGGCCCGGCCCCCGGCCTCCATGTGATTGGCCAGAGTCACGTCATTGGACCACACATCGAACTGCCATTTCCGCAGGCCAAGGACGCCGCAGTGCACGCGCCCGCTGTGGATGCCCACGCGCATGTTCACGTTCACACCTGTCACCTCGCGCACCAGCCTGGGAGGAGGCGGCCTGGCTTAGCTCCCGGCACAGTCCTCCCCACTCCCAGCCCAGAGCCCAGGCCCTGTGCTCGCCTTGGAGCCGAGTGGGCAAGGACAGACCCAGTCGCAGGGCACACGGCACACCCTCAGCAGGACACGGGCAAGAGGCTGCATGGGGCCCAAGGACAAATGTTTGGGAGCCCTGTTCACCAGCAGGGGCCCATCAGCATCTTATGGGACTGAGCTAGGAGAGGAGGAATCACTACCCTCCCTTTGGGCCTACTCAGCTGGCACCTTCTCCAGACCAAATCCCCCTCACCCTGGCTCCCCCGACCCCAACCCAGCTGGCTGGAGTCTAAGGTGCACATGGGTCTTCACACAGGCTGAAGAAAGACCCTTTCCCCTCCCCAGTGATGGATCTCCAAGACAGGGAGACAGCCAAGACTGAGAAAAAGTCCCGAGGACACATCAAAGGGTAGGAGCAGGTTGGGGCACCCTCAGTTCCAGGAAGCCTGGGAGGGGATGGTGCTCACGAGATGGCCTCGATCATGTCCACCCCCATCTCCACGCAGCAGTGGGCATGGTCTGCCCGGGCCTCTGGCAGCCCTGACACACAATAGTAACAGTCCCCTAAGATCTTGATCCTCAGGCAGTGATTTTCCTAAAGGTGAAAGAGTCGGGGGAGAGTCACCTTTACTCTGGCCCAGCCTGCCTGGCCCACTACCCTCACTGCAGATTCCATCGGCCCCCATCCCCCAAGGCCTCTGCCAATGAGGCTTGCCCTCACCCCGTCGGCCCCACCCCCAAGCCCTAGCACCCTCACCGCAGCCAGCTTGTCAAACCGAGCAAAGAGCTCGTTCAGGGTCATGACCAGCTCCTGCGCCGTGCACTGGGATGCCAGGCTGGTGAAGCCTTCAATGTCCGCAAACAGGATGCTGAGGACGATGGCAGAAGATGGAAGGGCGATGTGGCCCTCAAAGACTCCCAGATCCCACACCTCTCCCGGCATCCTCCCCACCCCGCCCCTACCTGACATTGTCATGCTTCTGGATGTAGATCCTGTGAAACATCATGTCTTCTTTCTTTGTGTTGATGTCTTCTTTCATCTCCATGGCAACATGCTGGGGCAACACGGACAGCAGCAGCCGCTCCTAGACCAGTGGTTTCAACAGAGGACCCCTATCTTCTTGGCCTCGCATTTTAATCCTTCCTAGTCCCTCCACATCCCCCAAACCCTCCCAGACCTCTCTGGAGACCTGAGCTTCCCTTCTGGACCGTGGCCTGACCCTCCCCCATTAGAGTCCTCAGCAGACGTACATCCCGGCCTTCTCTGACTACACCCCACTCAACCCCTCAGATGCACTCCATTTACTCCCTCCCACCCTCAGACAGGACAGGAACCCCAGTGTCAAAGGGCCCCTGTGATGCACAATCAGGGGGAACCATTAACACCATTCCATGGAGTCGCACGAGGTGGTGGATCCAATCTGCAAGCTATTGGCAGGTGAGATGGGGGAAGGCCGTGATCGGGGGCGGGGGGGGCGGGGGGCAGCCCCACCTGCTGCCGATTCTCATGCTGCAGGTGCAGCCGGGCCTGGATGTAACCACGGGTCTCCTGAAAGGCCTGGCGCTGAGACACCTCAGCTGGGTAGTGTGTGCAGATGCCAATGACATTGGTGCAGAGGAACAGCAGCATGTTGGCACCGAGCTGCAGAGGGGTGGCAGAGGCAAACGGTGACCACCCCCAACACACACAGGTGCAACTAGCTAGGCTCTCTGTAGATGCACTGCTTTGGGGAGGAAGCCAGGATCCTGTGCCCTGTCTTTCCCAAGCTGTCCCCACCCCTGCAATACCTCCCCATCCCCACAGGACTCCAGCTCCCTGCCTGGATCACTCCATGGCTAGAAATGTGATCTTCTCACAGCTCCTGGGAGCAGAAGCACCAACCAGGGCCAGGTAGGTCACAGGGCCTGGGCCCAGCACACTATGATTCCCTGCCCCACAAACACCCCAAACAAAAGACAAATGATGGGAAAAAAAAAAAAGACAAATGATGCTCCTTCTGCATACGTGGTTCTCCTTACAGGATGACACCCAGGAGATCTGAACTCTACATAGTCCTGTGAGTGCCCAGGACACGTCACCTCATCTCTAGGGGCCTGTTCGCTCATCTAGAACCTGGAGAGGGAGAATAAGATCTCCAAGGTCCCTCCCTGCCCTCACATAAGTTAATATAATAATAATTCCATTACTATCATTACTGGAGCTAATTTGTTGGCTGCCTACAAATGTGCCTAGATTCTATAGGTGTCCTCCGTATGTTAACGAATGTACTTCTTACAACTCTATGAAATCAGTAGCACTATCTCATTTGAAAGGTGAGGGACTCAGGCACAGAGAAGCTATGTAACTTGCCCAAGATCACACAGCTGGTAGTAGCCAGTGTGGGACTTGAGTCCAGGAGAGTCAGACTACAAAGCTGCGTCCTAACCCTACTGTAAACTACATTCCAGGTTCCCAGGATTCCTACTCACTCCACTCACCTAAGCTCTTGAGGCCCAGCCTCAGAACCCAGGCTTGGGAATCATCAATTCTACGGACACAAAGAACCCTTCGGAACTGGGATGGGGTGCCACCATGCCTGGCCACCCCCGACACTCGGCCCAGCCAGGCCCCATGCCCTAGGACCCCGATCCTAGGATGTTCCGCCCTCCGTCATCAGCAGCAGCATTGGCTGGAGAGCAAGTCTAAGGGAAGCCGACCTCAGTGTTTCTGGAAATTCAGGGGTTAACCTGGAACTTGTGGCTCCACCCCAGAGTTGGCTGGGGCAGGGCTCTGGTTTGGGGAGAAGGGAGGGCAAGAGCACCACTGGAAGCCAGGGAACCAGAACTAGTCCTGCAAACTTGGGCTTGTCACTCAATCTCTGGGACCTTGGTTTCATTTTCCTTGGGTAAGATGGAGGGGTCCGGCGAACCCCCAGCCATCTCCGGCTCCCATCCTCTAGGACTGGCTTCCCAGCTTCCCTTCTCAGTCCAGCTCACAAGGGCCCCCCCTCCCAGCAGCAGGGGTGAAGAGGGGGGCACACTATCTCCCCCGGGGGTTTCTAAGAATAGCCCCCAGTGGGGGAGAAGGAAAGGGGGGCAAACCAGGCAACTTCCCTTCCTGGCCCCAGGAGCCCAAGAGGAAAATGTGAGTCATGGTGGAGGGAAGGGGAAGGGGGACAAGAGACCGAAATAGATCTGTACACAGACCCCTATCCGACTGTGAGAAAAAATGGATGTCAGGGCACTATAGGAGACTCCAGGCTGGGCTGGGGCACTGGGTGAAACTGCTCTGTGTGTCTGAGTGAGCAGGTCATAGGAGGATGAAGGGGCTGGATCCGGGAAGGGGTTGACCAAGGAGCCTAGAAAGGAGGCCACAGCCCCACCCTACCCAGAAACCTGTAAGCCAGCTGGGTGCAGAGAGCCTGTACGCCAACTGGATGTAGAATCTAGGCATGTTCTCAGCTCACAGAAGCGGTATGGGCCGCTCTGGCCCCAAGGACTGACACAGGGCAAGGGCAGCTTTCTTCACTCGCCCACTGGGTGAGGCTGCAGCAGGGTGCCCCGGAGAGGCAGGAAACTGGTATAGTCCTGGCCTCCATGGGACTGCGCATCCCCAGTCAGGCCCTGGGCTTGGCTCTGGGCACCATGCCAGCTGAGAGCAGGGAGAGAGGATAGCTGGTAGTAGCTATCCTCTGGCTACCCAGCCAGAGAGGATAGGGGAAGGGAGGTACCACCTCCAAGCTCCTCCTTCCCCAAGAGGGCAGTCCAGCTCCAAAGCCCAGTGTGACAGCTACCCTGGAGAGAAATTGGGGGCTAGCAGTGGCAGAAGGACCCTGGCCCTTTAAGAGATCTGACAGTGCCCTGCGGATATGTGCTCCACAAACAAACTGGCTATAAGGTTACTCTTAAAAAGGTACATTCTGTTCCACAGGCTGGGCAGGGAAGGGCATCATGCCAGAGCACCCAGCTTCGAACCCTGGGAGCCCCAGGCAACTTCCTCTTTGTAGGTGTGGCTAGGGTGGGCTACAGGCCACAAGCCCTGGGCGAGGCAGAGGCTGGCTCCCTCAAACCTTGAGCAAGACAGAGGACAGCACCATCTAAATCAGGGTGCCAATGGAGGGATCTCGAGGTGTGCTGGCTGGGGGGCTGTGCCTACAGCCGCCCCTAAAGGATCAGCTGGGCAAGAGCCCCTGTCCCTGGTCAGGAGGATGACACGAGACAGCCAACACCACCGGCTCACATCTCTCTGCAAGGGACATCCGGAAGTCCCTTCACTGGGAACCATCTCCTACAGCATCCCTGCAGCTCCCTGCCTCCAGGTGAGAGCGCTACCCTGTCGGGTTTTACTCCACTCAGAGAGGGTGGGGCCCTGAGAGCAACATCATGAGGTAGATACTATTTTTATCCCAGTTTTACAGACGGGGAAACGAAGGCTGGGAGAGGCAAGGTTAGCTGTCTAGGATCTCACAGAGAAGAATGCAGCCCACTGGACAACCAGGGCTGCCTGCAGCCAAGCCTCTGCGACAGCCTCACCTCACACACCACTCTGAAGCCAGAGGTGGAAGCCCACAAGGGCAGAGAGCCTCAAGGCAGGCTGCCAGAGCCCTGGTGCCCAGTGGGAAGAGGGCGGGATGCGGTCGGAGCCTAAAGCCCCTCTCGTCAACAGTCCAGCCCCAAACTACTCCCGGCCCAGGACAGAAGTGACCCACTCATCACCTTCCCTGTCCTCCCGGAGCTGGCCTCAGTCCAGGAGAGAGGCAACTCCTCCCTTGCTAACTGCATCCAAAACCTACTCGATCCCTCCAGATCGCCACCTACAGCTGCCCTGCAGGGAAGGCACCAGGCCCTGAGTCTCAAGTGTCAACTTGGGGCCAGAGATGCCAAAGTCTGGATGTAGCCTACCCAGCCCCCTCAGCCCTGCCCCATCCCTGGGGCTGAATGTCACCTGCCCACCTCCAGCCTCACACTGGGTCTCTACAGATTATGCTGTTTCAAGGGCCTCAGACTAAAGAGCTGTAGACTGTGGCCCATGGGGACAGAGCACAGGCTTTAGGTTCTGGAGCCTTCCCTTCCCTTAGCAGTGCCTTCTGCCTCAGATCCCAAATGGAGACCCACCCCTCCTCCCAGATACAGCCAGACGTCCCTCTCCCGTGTCCACCCGTGACTCTCCCACCCTCGATTAGCAGACTCCTTCTCATTCCCGCACTGGTGCCCCCACGCCTACCTCCCCGACCACCCACCTGCTTCCAGAGGAAGGCATCACCACGGTTGAGTTGCCAGGCCAAGATCAAGTGCAGGGTGGAGAGGCCCAGGCCACTGAAGACAGCAGCCCGCATGCGGATGGGGAGAAGCGTGTAGGTGATGTAGACGAAGAACACGGGGCACCAGAGGCCTACAGAAGGGCTGCGGGGGCTGGCTGTCAGGGCGCCGCCGACCTGCACGGCTGCCAGGATGCCCAGCACCACGTAGCTCACCAGCCACATGGAGTCCTGGCGGAAGCTGTGTCGATTGCACACCACCATGAGCGCCACGAAGAGGACGGCGGCGCAGGCCAGCAGGGCCACGTAGGCAGGCTGAGGGTGGGCAGGCGCCGCGTGGAAGGCCAGCAGCACGGCCATGAGCAGCACCAGCACGGCCATCAGCAGCGTCAGGCTGCTCTGGTTCATCTGGAAAAAGTACCTCTGGTACAAGCGCTCCAGCTTGGCCGAGCGGAACTGCTTTGACTGGAACACCTGCACCAGCCGGCGCCAGCAAGCTCGCCTGCTCCTGGCGGCTGCATCGGGGGCCCCCTCAGCGGCCCCGACTGCCACGGTCGCCTCAGGGTCCTCGAAGCCCAGGGCCACAGCCCGCAGCCCCAGCTCCAGGCCCTTGCCTGGGCCACCCCTCCGGATGAAGGCCTCATCCTGCCAGGGGCACCGAGGCGCGGCTGCGGGGGTCGGGCTGGGTGGCTGTGCACCCTGAAAGCAGCTCATATAACGGGGTGTGCAGAAGCCACTGGAGCGAGTCCCGCGGCGTGGACGCTTCTGCCCATTGCGCTCGCCCCAGGCTGTTTTCCGTTCATCCACTTTGGGGACCAGGAGGCCACTAAACCATGACATCCTGCTGGGAGGAAAGGAATGAGGTGGTGTTAATACCACAGTTACTGCCGCCACCAGCAGTTTTCACTAACCGAGCTCTTCCCGTTACCAAGCTGAGCACCTCAGACACATCCTCCTCCTGAAATGACTCTGAGGAAGACCAGGGTATCCCCAGCCACCAGGTGAGGAAACTGAGGCAGAGGGAGGTGAAGTCACTTGCCCGAGATCAAGCAGCCATACAAGTGTCAGAACCAAAATTCTAACCCAGATCTGTCTGGCTCCAAAGCAATTCATTTAAACATTCACCTCTTCCCTAAAAGGCACTGATTTCTTGGTGGTTACAGACCCACTCGAGTGCCTGTCAATGTGAAAAGCCGCCCAGTTCAGGAGAGAGAGAGCACAGCCCAAGCAGGGGCAAGCACCACCCCGCACCGGCAGACTGTTGCCACTGGTGTCCCAGTGGAACCTGATCCTCTGATTTTTCAACAGAAGCTGAATTCTAAAGAATGGAGGCTTTAACATGACATCTCCTGACTTTTAAACATTGGCAAGTAATTCACATTTTTCAACACTGCAAGCCAAATAAATCACATCTACGGAATGAATTCAGCCTGTGAGCTGCCAATCGGTGACCTCTGTACCACAGGGAATCTCTTTCCACATCCGTCCCCATCACACTCACACACTGCGCACACTTCACAGAGTTAAATTCAACTCCTCCCTCTGGTTACAGCTTCAACAAAACTTCCTCAGGAAGGTGTCCCAGCTCCCCCACCCAGACTGAGTTTGGTCCCCTGTTCACTCTCCGTACATTTCCTCCATGGTACTGATCACCATTATCACTAAATCATCCCTTGTTTAATGTGTGACTCTGCCCCTCTGACTATAAATGTTAGGAGGGAAGGGATGATATCTATTTTGCTCAGCGCTTTATCCCCACCCCAGGTACCCCAAATACTGAGCCTGGCTCATAGTAGGAACTCAACCAATTTATGAGTTGAAAAGAGAGAAAGAAACGAAGCTCAAGAGTGTTGGTATAAAGAAGCTAATGTGAAATAATAATAACGATATGATTCTTCATCCTTCTCACTGCACTCCAGTCCTCTTAACCTCTTTGCTGTTCCCCAACACACCGTGCACGGGACAGCCTGGGACCTTGGTGCTTGCTGTTCCCTCTGCCTAGAGTAAGAGCTCCTCCAGGTCACAGCTCATATGTCCCCTTATCAGTGAGCTTTCCCTGACCACTCTATTAAAATAGCAACCCCCTTTCCTGGAGCTCCCTATCTCTCTTCCGAGCTTTATGCTTTATTTTTCTCCACAGCTCTTATCAGCAGCTGCCATTCTATATATTTTTCTTATTTGTTCATCGTCTGTCTCTCCTAACTGGAATGTCAACTTCATGAGGGCAAGGATTTTGGCCTGCTTTGCTCACTGCTACATCTGCAACACCTGGTAGGGTCTAAATAAATGTTCATTGAGTAGATACGCAGGTAGGTGGGTGGATGGATGGATAACACTCCCATGCACTTTCCCTCTGCTTGAAACTTTTCGAGGTCCTTTCACATACCTAAGTCCATCTGATCTTCACCAGAACCCTGTGAGGCTGGTCCTGTGGCCATCTGGGGCACAGGACAGATTTGACAGCAAAAAAAAAAAAAAAAAAAATAAAAAAAAAAAAAAAAAAAAGAAGAACTGAGGTCCACGGTAGTTTTATACAGCTGGCCCAAGTTCTAGAGATCACAAGTAATCAAGTCAGCCCCAAATCTCACGTCTCCAGGAGGGAAGTGTCTTGACCTGGGGGAAGGGGAGGACTCCATGACAACACCCTCAATGTGTCTCCCAGCTGAGCCCAGCTCAGGAGGAGGTGAGGGTGAGAGCACTGCCACCCATGGATGCCTGCATCCCCACCAGGGCCACCCTCCTCCATGCCCACGGGGCACCCTGAGGGGCTCCTCGTACTTAAACCTGCAGAGCTAGCAGCACCGACATTTGTACTCACTAGGGGACGAGGGGGAGAATATCCAGAGCTTGCCCCAGATGGCCACAGGACCAGACGCTCAAGCCACAGAAGCAGTGCTCCAAGCAGACACCCAGGGGCCCACAAAGCAGAAGGCAGACTGGGGACCTCTCTGCACATGGGAAACCCCCATCTCTGGTACCCCCTCCACTAAGTTCTCTTGGCATCCCTTCTCCTATATCCCACGGAGCAGCAGGCCCTTAAACCCCTTAACATCACCAACGGCACCATCTGGAGGGACAGATCAAAAATCCAAGACTTTTGGTCAGGCTGACATTTGGCAAAGGTCACCAAAGAAAGTCTGGCTCTTCAAAACACTTCATTAGAAACAAGATCTTTGAAGTGAGACCACGTTTCAAACCTTATTGTGATTCTTTGCTAGCCTCGCAGCCTTGGACAAGTTACTTCACCTCTCTATGTCACTTTCTTCACCTGTAAAATGGGAACAATAAGAGTTGCGAGGAAAGAACGTAACAGCACCCATCAGGCATATAGTACACACTCAATAAACATTAGCTCTTCTCCTCACTCTACACCGCTTTGAACCCAAAACCCTGCCAGCGTCCAAGAGATGGAAAGACAGGAAAATTGTGAGCAAAAACCCACACCTCCCCAGCCAGTCAGACGCCTGGCCCTATCAGTCCCTGTGTCCTCGGCTGTCAGTCCCGAGAGCTGCATGAGACAGAGCCCAGAGTAAGCAGGTTTCCCACTGCCCCCCATGACATTTTGCTTCAGCCTCCTCCCCCTCGCCAGTCCCCTGACCTGTCCTCACCACGCCCCCACCCCACTGGCCAGACCTCTGTTCCCAAAGGACCTGTTTCTGGCCATGCTCCCAGCCCCCTGGAAGCACAGCTTAGCACGTGGCTCGTACCCGCAGAGGAAGGCGCGTACACTGTCCAGGGGAATGCATGACCCTCCCAAGAACATTCTGACCCCACAAGTGGATAGCTTCAGAGATCTGTAATTGTCCAACCAACTGCAACCATCCCACCCTGGGCTCCATTCCAGGCACTGCCCATCTTGGAGAACTTACTCCTGGCACCCCACACCAGGCTGGTACGGCAGGGAATAGGGCAGGGCACTGTTCAAAGCCACAAAACTTGCCTATATGGGGCCCCAACCTTCCTTGTCCAGGAATCCATCACTATGAACCACAGACCACCTCCTTCCTCCCCAGAGATAGGCTCCTGAGCTTGTGCCTCCGACCCCCTCCTTCCCTGGGTCCTGGTTTCTTTGCTCTCTCTCACAGATCTTCTACTCCAGGCACCACCAGCTCCCAAGGATGGAGCCATGACCATTCAGCCTGGCAGACCGAGGCCCAGTGTCTCTCAGACCCCAGGTCCCTCCTGAACCTGGGTCCTCCAGCCTGAGACCCAGAGTCTGAAGCAGGCCAGGGCCCAGCCCCAAGGATGGCTCTGCGCGCTGCTTTGCCCAAACCCTCTTCCTGGTCACCTCCTGTTCCCAAAAGGTGGCAAAAGGAGGCTCCAGGGGATTTAAAATGACTTCAGAAAGTTCATGGATGAAGGCACTGCCCAGGCAGGGCACTTCAGTGCCAGCACCGCCCACCAGGCTGGGACATGGGCCTCAATTCCAGGCCTGTCCAGATGTAGAGAAACCTCCCCAGGGCCTGTATCTGGAGGTCCATCAACCCTTCTCCTCCCTTCTCCAGCCCTTGGTCTCCCTAAAGACTGCACTGGAGGTCCCACCTCCACCCCAACCATACAAACCCCACCAGGGCCCTCCAGTCACAGGGGTACTCCGGTAAGCAGAGGGTATAGGAAAAGAGTCCACAGCCTGATTCCACCTCTGGCTTTTCAGTCAGGCCCCAGAGCCTGTTCTGAATAAAGTCTGCCCACCCTGCAGCGGGCCTGGACACCAGCCCTTTCATTCCCAAGGTCTGGGGTGAGGGGAGGGGGACTCCTGCAGACAGAGGGCATCCCTCCCTCCGCCCAGGCTGCCTCCCCTTCCCCGAAGCACAATCACACTCTACCTCAAATTCGGAGGCTCACCCACAGTCCTGCTGCAAAAACCTCAGGACAGCCCCTCCCCCAGTACATGCCTCTCCCCCTCTTCCCAGCAAGCCTGGAACTCGCCCCGGGTGGAGGAAGGGAAGCACAGGGCAGGGAGCGAGGGTGGGAGCCTTGAGCCCCGGACGCAGGACTCCTCGATTCCCCCATCTCCTCCCGGACTTCCCCCCGCCAGCCTCGACGGCCTCGGGCTCCCCCCGCGCCGGCTTCCCCGCCCGGACCACAAAACTCCCGGGAGCCGCGCGGGAGTCTGCCAGCCGCACGGAGACCCGAGCGCCGAGCGCCGGGCGCCGCCGCCTCCCCAGACGCTCCTCCGCGCGGTCTCACCTGCCGGCTGGGGTCGGCGCCTCCC